CCCCGAGAGAATATTAAAAACGCAAATATTTCAAACCATACGGTCATTCGTTTTCGTTGCCTGATTTGCTGACTTGTCTGTTAGTACAAGAATCTGCATTTTACCATGTTTGTATAATTTAAAACGGCAAACAGAAACCAATTTAGCAAGAATTTTGAAGAATATATGATTCTCAAAGATTATTGTACAGCACGGCCACTTCTTGCAATCGAAGTGTGAAGTGCGGAAGTGGAAACATGTAATATGAGACCTTTCCATCCCCCTCTGAGGCTATCAATTTTCTATGGGTCACGTGACCAGCGTCCACCAGGGTCTTTGCTTCCCAAGAGCAAATACCCTGGGAACGAGGTTGTTGCCAGGGTTCTCTTCAATCTCGTTCCCCGAGCCTGCGATCCTTGGGAAGGAAACGAAGGCTCTGGGATCAACATGGTCTCTCGTTTCCTATGATGATATATGACATACGCACATACAGGCGCGTATGATGCAATGCATCATATAGGCGTAAAAATCTCACAACAGTCCCAGGCTCCAGATTTGAGCGACGTAATTTGTAAAAGACAAGATGGCGGACAGTTCTCACAGTGCTAGCTGCCTTTAGTTGCCTAGTTGTTCGAACTGTTCGGTGTATAGCAGATCGACAGAGACGGATATCGCATCAAAAATTGAGAAAATTATCGAATGTGGCAAACAATTTTCCTCAGCCTAGAACGAGGAAAAGAGAGCAAACCAGTGTTGGATTCCTTGATGATATTTGTGGAAGAACAATTTTAATAATACAATTTATATTATATTTAACGAGAGACCCCATTGTCGTTGCCCTCGAAAACGTATGGTCGAAAGATGTTCAACGTAATAAAAACACTGGAAATGGTTAGTATAAAGCTCATTTACGTTTTAAAATTTGACATAATTTCGGTTAATATTGCCTTTAATCATAATGATTTGCCTGCAGTGTGTCCATGTCACGATGTGTTTTGTATATGTTTAATAATATGTATTAAACTATTTGTAAAGTGATATTACTAGACTGGCTATACTATATACTGCATATAATAGTTGTGTGGTTACTGGTGATACCAATTAATACGTGATATTATAAACTATATGCAAAAGATAGCAGTATGAATGTCACCAGACCAGTGATTTCACAACGCAAACCTCTCTTATTAAAGACCATGTCATGTCCGATCTGTGCATCAGTTCTGCTCATACCAAAGGGGGACCTGAAATGTACTCAATCATTTACAATAGCGAACCAGAAAAGTGTTAGATATTCAGTTAGTATGTTTTATTCTACAAATATACCAGTTCAAAATGTAACCAAAGGATTTGTTACATTACGGACTTGACATGGTCTTTAACAGAATGCACATACAGTATTGACAAGGCAGTCAGGGTCTCTAATGTACCAGTAAAATGAAAGATAAGTTCTTTGAAGGTTTCAGGTTTTGCATGACAAAAATACAATAAAAATTTTGTTTAATTAAATTTGTAGATAACACCACATAAAAATTATTTGTGCATAGCTTTCAGACTTTCAGTCCTTGTGCCCGGATCTTCATATTATCTGCACTGATGATGCACTGATGAAGATCCGGGCACACAGATCAAACACTATGAACAAATAATTTTTACATGGTATTATCTACAAAACAAAGTTACATGATGCAAGATGTTAAAATGGAAGATGTACTGTAAGCTCCTTTATTTCCAAATTTCCAAGCATTTGCCATTACAGTTGTTTTGTTCTGACTCATAATTGTTTGGTAAAGCCTACTATTTGTTTATTTTTAAAATTTGTGTATTTGGAGGACCTTTATGCACTCTTTAATGCCTCTTTATATCAGAGCCCTCAGGAAACTTCTTTTTCAGTAGGGGTCGCCCTATAAGCCCCCTAGCTTTCTCAGATTTCCCAGTGAATTAAGTATGGGCCAGTCCGCTCCTGATCATTTGTTTGCATTGCATTGTGTTATAGGTACCTTACCAGGGTTGGGCGATATTTCGATATTTTCATATGTCGCAATATTTTCAATCGCAATTATCGTATCGAAGGTAGAAACTTGAGCGAGATTCTTTCTGTTGCATTTATCGCAATATTATCGAATATCGTGATAATTTCCTTGACACTAATCGTAAGATGATTATTTTAATATCACCCAACCCTATACCTTAGATGTATATACCACAAGTATGTAAAATGAGTGCTCTATTTTAATAAACCAAATAGCTTTTGTCAAATCCTCAACCCAAAATCAAATGCCCTACTAATGCTATTCAGTATATACTGTGTAAACTAAATATTTGGATATTTTTTATTGTTCATAGATGCATTCACATCCGAAATGATTTGGTGCCTGATAATGAAGTTGATCACTCTTTTAATGATGATCAGTTTGAGACTCAAGGTTTGTAGACTAAGTACTTTATGCAATGCTCACACAATATTTTTAAATACTGAGTTACATGTGAGCTGAGAAACTTGTGTTAAACTTAAAGACCATATAAAGTCCAATCTCGTTCCCCGAGCATGCCCGTTCGCAGGTTAAGGGTGGGCATAGCTCTGGAGAAATCGAATTGATTCAGGCCTGTGATTGGCTAACGGCAGATAGTACGTTGGATTTCCAACGTGAGTTCTACGCATGCTTGGCAATTGTTGCAAAATATAAACAAAGTATTTGGAATTTCTCGTCGAAAATTTGCTACTTTTTTACACTAAAATCGATTGCAAACAACTAGAAATTTGGAGAGAATATGTGCAAAAGCTTTGGATTGATAGGGATACAACTACCTGAAAAATACAAGGAGAACTTCGACGTTTCGTCGGGTTTCGAGCGAAGGCGCTTCGACTTGTGCTGTTAATGTTTGTATATATAGTACTTGACCTTTTATACTGTCGTACTTAACACTACGTATACCATAAATTCTGACAGGAGAGTTAAGTGTAAATTTTAAAGCATATAAAATTAATATATAATACTCATTCTTGAGGAGATTTATCAGTAAAGGTGAAGTACGATGTATATAAACACTAACAGTACAAGTGACAAGTCGAAGCGCCTTCGCTCGAAACGTCGAAGTTCTCCTTGTATTTTTCAGGTAGTTGTATCCCTATCAATCCAAAGCTTTCGTACATATTTCCTCATAATTTTTAGTTGTTTTCAATCCGATTTCAGTGTAGAAAGTATCAAATTTTCGACGTGAAATTCTAAATACTTTATTTACATTTTGCAACATTGCCGAGCATGCGTAGAACTCACGTTGGAAATTCAACATGAATCAATTCGATTTCTCCAGAGCTATGCCCACCCTTAACCTGCGAACGGGCATGCTCGGGGAACGAGTTTATATAAAGTCTGTTCTGTGCATACGTTCTGCGCAGGCTTACATTCCAATGGTCGGGACCCGACCGTTGGAATGTTATTAATATTTCTTATTTTTTGAACTTTCTTGAATTGAATCTCTAGTTAAAAATTCAGTATAATATATATCTAATCATATTTTACAACTGTAGCACTGAGTTCAAAATGTAAACAAAGTGTTTGTTTACATTACGGACTTTACATGGTCTTTAAGATTTGTGTTATCTTGTAAGGGTATGAATTCAAAGTTATTCTGCACCATTGTTTCTACATACAAAAATATGTACAGTGTTGCTATTTCTTTGGATGATAACCTAACCATCCTAATTGAGGAATGTGAAAAATTGCTTAAATATGAAAATTTAGTAAATCAGCAACAATGAAAATAAATATAACTGGGATAAGAGGATGACTAATTTAAATGCTAATTTGGAATTATGTCAGCAAAAAATATTTGAAACTCTTTTATCGTGAGCTGCAGTTATCCCGAATGTTTGTTCTAAATGTTTCACACAAGAAACCACAATATATTGTGGGGAATGTACTAATTCAAAACACTTATGTTTAATGTTTATCTTGCAATGACTGAGGAAGTGCACTTAAAAATGAGGAAGTGCATTTAAATGTACAATTAATAATTCCTTGTACTAGGGGTGCACCGGAACCATTGTTTAAAGTTCCGGCCGGAAGCGGATCCGAAAGGAACCAGAAAAAAGTTCCGGCCAGAACTTTATTAAACCATATATAGTTATTAAACCATATATTTATTAAACCATACAGTGGGGGTCAAAAGTCTGAGTCCAGTCAATATGATTTTGCCTCTTATTGATATACAATATATTCTTACACAACACACCGCTATATGTGCGTCGAATAAGGATTTACATCAACATTGGAATTGATTATACATTAGCCAAGTGAACATTATTTTAATATTTTGTGTGACCTCCTTTTGATTTTAAAACAGCTTGAACTCTTCCTGTCATAGCCATAGATTCAACAAGTTTTCTTAGTATTGATGGTTTAAGATTATTCCAGCATTATTGATCAACGACATCCCATAAGTTGGTTGTCTTTACTTGTGGGATTATGTTTCTCTTTCTCTCGTTTCAAATGTTCCCATAAATTCTCAATAGGATTTAGGATTTTAGATCTGGAGGTTGAGGAGGAAATCCATAACAATCAGATCACCTTTCTCTTGCTCCATACTTATTAACTAATTTTTACGAAACAACAATATCACTCTATCCTTCAAAGACAAGCCATACCATCTAGGTTAAGATTGTGTGGAAGGAGATTTGTCTTGCAATGCAGGATAATGATCCGAAACACACTTCTCACATGTGTAACAATTATTGAAGAAGGAAGCAAGAGAAAGGTGATCTGGTTGTTATGGATTTTTCTCCTCAATCTCGGGACCTAAGTCCTATTGAGAATTTATGGGATCATTTGAAACGAGAGAAAGTAACACATGATCCCACAAGTAAAGAAAACCTATATGGGGTGTCCTTAATCAATGCTGAAATACCCTTGAGCCAGCAGTACTTAGAACACTTGTTGAATCTATGCCAGGAAGAGTAAGGAAGAGTTAAAGCTATTTTAAAATCAAAAGGAGGTCACACAAAATATTAAAACAATGTTCACTTGACTAATGTAGTATAATCAATTGCAACGTTGATGTAAATCCTTATTTGATGCACAAGTAGTGCTCTATTGTGTGAAAATATATTGTATATCAAGAAAAGGCAAAAGCATATTGACTGGACTCAGACTTTTGACCCCCACTGTATATAGTCATATGTTACTTTGTCTGCTGCCAGACAGGCAGACACTTCAAGTTATCAAGGAGAGATGTCATCTTGGCTATGCCACCTTAACCTTTGTAACTTTGTTTACACTTTATGATTCCAGTTTGTACTGAAAGTCAATGCATACAGTACAATCAAAGGTTTTTAAATATTTATACATGTATAAATTAAATAAACTGTACAATTAATGCCTTCCCTTTGTATCTTATTAACCTATCAATTAAGTTTAAATTATTAACCTATCAATTAAGTAAATTAGTAATTAATTTAAAGTTTGTAAATAGTCCGACATAATCTCCCTTGATGAGCCATGCTCTTGGAGAAAATGTCTGTAATAAAATATGTTTAAATAAAAAAAAATTAAGTTTAATTTATACATATCGAGACTGGGATCAACAACAAAGTTTACGAATACTGCAGGTAGTTACCATGTCATAAATATCCAGTTTGCATTGATAAATTACTGTGCATGGTTCGTACAGTACCTCAAGTTATCAACAACATACTTGCATAAACAGGGTTGTGGTAGTTAGACTGTTAGAGAAAAATAAGTATACTGGAAATATGTTTAATTAAGAGTGGAGCTTGAAACATCGAAGTTCTTGTCGAATGCCAACAGAATGCCTAGTTACTGCATGTACAATACAGTGGACAATTCTTAATACTATTTTGTAGGTCGTGATGAAACACTTGCATATAATGTACTGAAATGGAATTTTGCAAAATGGCGGCTAACCGTTTTGTGAAGGTTACTGATAAAGAAATAAGCGAAATTATAATAAATTCACTCCAAAGAAAACACAAAAGACTTAATGAGTACAAAATGCTAAAACAATTATTCGCCAAAGGCGAGGTGATTATTGGGGAATATTCACCTCGGCTTCGTCTCGGTGAATATTCCCCATAGAAATAATAGACATAGAATGCGTGCTGATGACGAATCATGTCTCCACTTTTTCACCGTGCGTGCCCTTTTGAATGCGCCATTTTGAATTTTGGCCAGGAGTGCAAACTACAAAGTATAAACAAAGCTAAAACTACGTTTCCTTCGTCAAAACGTTTTGTCTTGTTGTCTAATTTGTAGTTTGGGGATAGATTTTCGGTTCCTTGAAGGCACAAACTGTCAAAGCAAATGTGCAGTTATAAAACGGTGAAAATCGTGCAGCCTTTTAAAAACAAAGTAGATTGGCGAAAATATAATTTACTCATAAAACATTTTTTGCATGAACTAAACGTAACTGTTTTGCTAATATCTTATAAGATTACAAAATGATAGTTCTTTCTTCGTCGGGTTTCGTTTTTCTTCAAAGTGTTTTCATGTTCTTGAAACAAAAATATTTAGTTGTCAAACTAAAACTAGTTGTCTAAAAATAATCGTTGAAAACTATGGTTTCAAAGGCGTTGCCTCAAGCTCAAGCAACGTAGAAAAATATGAAATATAATTGTGTAAGTTTAAAAAGATTATTGAAGTCCATTTATGTTATAAAAGAGTTGAAATATTTGTAGAACATACCTATTGAGTTTGTCTTGATCTTTCGTGTTTGTTTTGGCTTGCACAACAACATATTAACGTTGAAAATTTATTTTTTATCAAACTTTTTTTCCATTTTAAGTCCCGATATAAAATTTTTTGCAAACTTTTCAGTTGAAAAAACAATTCGCACTCCCTGCAACCGCGCGAAATTCCCTGCCTCAGGAGTCTGGGACCAACCAAAATGCCCTTTTCAAATGCGCCATTTTGTGGAGACAAATTTTTTACTGAGAAAAGATAGGAGCACGCATTCTGACTATGTCTATTATTTCCTCGCATTCGGCGAATAATTGTTAATTATTGTAGTTGTCTTTGAAAAAAACATTTTTCCTCTTCATTATACGTGTATTAATGTTTCTCGAGAGACACTGAATTTTCATTGAAAGTGTTTATTCTATTTTACAGATGCTGTTGCTTTATATGACGACGGGAAGATTATAGCGATCGGTACCATCGTAAATCTGCAGTGTGTGCATGGCCATCCTATTCCAAAAAATATATGTTCTTGCGTTATGCGGTCGTTGGCCCTAGACAACCATCCTGCTCCATGCCCTTTGGGAAGAACAAATTTGATTTAAACCAAGCTGATTTAAGTCCCAACAATTTTCCTTTGTCACAACATATTGTATTAATTTACTCTAACGCGAGCTTGCACCTAACGATCTTGAAGATACTGTTAGTTGGGAAAGAAACGAATCAGCACGGGTCAGTCCAGCTCATATGACCAGGCAAGATGATGTAGACCTCTCGCCTAAGATATATTTTGTTAAGCAATGTGTTGCCCGCCCTGGATGTCAAGCTTCATACATCGGAAAGACAGATCACTGTCTGATGACAAGGCTAAAAGAGCATGCCCGCAGTAAAGAATCAGAGATTTACAAACACATAAATTCATGCGAACACTTCATGTGTTATAGAACGTTATTTAATCTTCCTCATACACTATTTAATCTAGACGACTTCACTTTCAACTGTAGGATATTAGACAAATCCTGACATTGATCTTTATTACTTTTCAAAGAATCTCTATATATTCATCGCCAGTGACCGGAACTTAACCATGGATATAAAGCCTCTAAGGAACTCATAATTTTTAACTAACAGATATCATATTTCATTTGATCTTGTATATATAGTTTTGTATTACTTAGTAGCGTCATTGAAAGCTAGTCGAAACGTCGAATTAAAATGGTAACCGTTTTCGGAGTGTCCATTGTTTTGTATTTTTTAATACATCCTTTTGATTATTACATCACAAATATTTCTATGCCTATGTTAAGGCGGATTTCCAGTCCTCGCACGAAGCTCCTCGCAGCTCGCTGCGAGTGCTTGCATCTAATTAAAATTAACTGTTTAGTATTGTGATTGGATGAAAGCGCTCATGCATGCACTCGCAGCGAGCTGTGAGGAGCTTCGTGTGGGGACTGGAAATCCGCCTTAATGTAACGGAAAAAATTGTTTCGCGTACCACTTTCATCCGTGACAGGCCTACCTAATTAGATACAGTAGTCCTTGCACCAACCTCGTACCCAGGGTCCCCGTGTTTAAAGGTTGTGGTGCATACTAGAACCTTTAAACAGGAGGACCGTGGGTACGAGGTTGACGATGATCTCACTCACCAACCTTGCTATACTAAGTTATCGTCGACAAACTCTGCGTTCATCGATCACTCCAGTGAATGTGATAAACTAACTAAGGCTTGCTTTCGAAAGCTTAAATATCCTGATTTCAACCACGACATTAAATAAAGAAAACGATCTGACTGTTTTGTGTTCTATAGCTATTCGTTCATTTTTTCTTCATGCATGAGGTGCTGGCTATGTATTAGTGGGAGGATACAGAAACCAAATGTTACCTGATAGACCGCCGTCGTTGATTGGCAAGAAGCTACATGAATTTCGACATTTAGGGGCGACATGCGATAAAAGGTAGTAATAAGTGGTGTATTATACAAGGGTAGACAGGATGAACCATACGCATATTTAGATTTAAGTCATTTATATAAAATTTTCGAATTTCGTCTTCTAAAACAACATGCAAAATTGTACCATGCACGGTTTAGAGTTGCATTTTCATGGCGGTTAATTAGATGTAACAATGTTACAGCTAAACATGTGGCAATAAATAATTGCAGTGCTATATATAGAGTGTTACATGGTGTAACACAGTGTTACATATTTTGACATAGTGATAACTGTGTTACCTACTGTTACATTGTGTTCTTACTCAACTTTTCCGGCATAGCGTTGCATAGTGTTACACATTAGTGTTACATTTCCGAACCCTATTCTAACCTTCAAACACTCATTAATAATTCATAAGCTTATTGGCAAATCATGTTAACCATAATATGTCACGTGCAGTGGCTTTAAACCTGATAAAACACTCCTAATTAGTATTCTTTATATAAAGAATACTAATAAGGCAGTATCTATTGTAGTGGTGTCCTCATTAGTATTTTTTTATATAAAGAATACTAATAAGGCAATATATCTATTGAATTTGTAGTCTTGTTTGAAGCCGTTTTCATAAACTCGCAGGTCGTGTTTTATTAGGTCTAAAGCCACTCGCGCTTCGCGCTCATGTCTTTAAACCTGCTCGTCTATTAAACAGTACTTAAAAACTGAAAATTCGCGTCCCGTTGCCGAATCGCGTCCGGTCTGTGTGGACCTTAATCCTTATAAATAAGCATCCTACAATCGCATACAAAAATAATGAGACTTTTCACGTTTTTGCCCATTTTAATTAAAGTACGTCGGCCTCACCCCTACCCCGATGACAATGCAATGTTGGAAAAAGTGGGTTGAATTCTCTCCTTCGGTCATTCACATAACATTGAATGTGGGCTGAAGTCCCATGCGGTTGTTGTGTATTTCTAAAAGTTACCCCAAATTTTCCAATATTCATATAAAATACGAACATTTTGGTGAAAAAAGGGTGAATTTCATCAACATGTTGTACTAGTACAGCGTTCGTACCAAGTATTTCTAAAATTAACCCCAAATTTTCCAATATTGTTATACAATACGAACATTTTGGTGAAAAAGGGGTGAATTTCACAAACATGTTGTACTAGTACAGCGTTCTTACCAAGTATTTCTAAAAATTACCCCAAATTCTCCAATATTTATATAAAATACGAACATTTTGGTGAAAAGGGGGTGAATTTCATCAACATGTTGTACTAGAACAGCGTTCGTACCAAGTATTTCTAAAATTAACCCCAAATTTTCCAATATTTATCTAAAATACGAACATTTTGGTGAAAAAGGGGTGAATTTCATCAACATGTTGTACTAGTACAGCGTTCGTACCAAGTATTTCTAAAATTAACCCCAAATTTTCCAATATTGTTATACAATACGAACATTTTGGTGAAAAAGGGGTGAATTTCACAAACATGTTGTACTAGTACAGCGTTCTTACGAAGTATTTCTAAAAGTTACCCCAAATTTTCCAATATTTATATAAAATACGAACATATTTGGTGAAAAAGGGGTGAATTTCATCAGCATGTACTAGTACAGCGTTCGTACCAAGTATTTCTAAAATTACCCCCAAATTTTTTAATATATATTGATATAAAATACGAACCTTTTGGTTCGCCAACATGTTGTACTACAATCGCGTGCAAAAAAAATAAGACTTTTCACGTTTTTGGCCTATTTAAAGTGCGTCCGGCATCCACCCTGCCCCCATGATTAATGTTGGAAAAAGTGGGTTGAATTTTCTCTTTGCAGGCATCCACACAACGTTCAATTGGGGGTAAGGGGGGCATGCATTTATGCGGTTGTCTGAATAATTTTTGCTCCTGATTGTAGGCTATGTAGCGAAATCGGACCCCATGCAAACGTCATATAGACATATTTAGATTTAATGAATTGGGCTGGAATTTTGAAATTTTGACAGTGGTCTGAAACAATGTGCAAAATATCTTGAAGAAATTCCATTTCTCGCACATCATTAGATATTCTTAGCATTTCGGCCAATGACATGGTGTAATTTACATCACGTGTATCTATCTGGATACCCGTCTAGACCAGGACTTTAATTACTTCAAGTGGGAAGGGCTTTGAACAATAGGGAAATTGAGGGGTAAACAAAAGATTATGCAAATATATTTAATTGCTATGTTTAGAATTATTTCTAAATACAGTAAGTGTATTTAGAAACTTTTTCTAACTACACTTTACATCTAACACTTTTTCTGAACGTTTGATAACTACATAAATATACGAAAAGGAAATTACGATTTTTTACCAACTATCATAATAAACAGCGCTTTAATTAAACACTACAGTAATAATACAACTTAACAGTAATGTTTACCGTCTAATATATATTCACGTCTTCGGCTCTTCCATTTTCCGCCAGATAGAGCCTTATCGCACACACAATCTGATATCGTTTTTTCGGATCTCCATCCTTGTCAGCGATCGCGAGTGGCTTTTCTTTACATTTTCAATACTGTCCTCAACACTTTCTGGTTCTCGAAACCGCTTTTTCTTATATTATAAGAAGATGCAATGCTCCTTTGCCAACAAAATCCATCTATTCATGACGATTTTTCAGTTTCTTGTTTTTGTGGTTTGTTCCCAAGATATTTGAATTTGTTTGATATGTATATGAGTGTGAATATGTCCGCTAATTTATGACGTCATGTTGGTTGCTAGCTCTTCAAAATGGTTGAATATCACTGCTATAATCCAAGATGATAACTTCAAGCTTCACGTGAACAGATAAAACGTGAACAGATATCTACAGTTTTCAGATTTATAACCAGTGTAAGTTGAGCTTGCAACCAACGTGACGTCATAAATTAGCGGACATATTCACACTCATTTACATATCAAACAAATTGAAATATCTCGGGAACAAACCATAAAAACAAGAAACTGAAAAATAAGTTACACTACAGCTTAAAGAGTTCTTTCATTTAAGAAAATCAGAAATTTCATGTCATATGCACTTTAATGTCCCACGGTCACTTTTTTGAATATCTAATATTTCATGCCTCATTGCCATGAATATCTAATGAAGTGTGAGAAGCAATTTCAAATCCTCGTTAGTGTCTTAAACTTGGCTTCCAAATCCCCAGTGCCATGAACGATGGCTCGGCACATGTATTTAGAAACTACGTCTAAAACACTAACTCGGATTTGAAATATATACTTCTAAAATTGAGGTCAATTTACGGTTCATCCTGTCTAATCCTTACAAATAAGCACCACCCTATATAGCAAAATCGGACCAAAAAATTCAGGTACATATTTGGTTTAGTGAATGTGAGTAAAATTTTGGAATTAAACGTGTTTCATTGTCCTAAAACAACGTGTATTTCACACAGCATTAAGGCGAAGTGTAACTCGAAGAATTACAAAATTGCAAAGATTTATCAGAAATCTTGATTTCCGCATATGCTACAGATAATTCATATTTATTCAAAATCCCAAGCATACTCTATCATCGAGAAAACATTTATGTTTATACTTTGGCAGGAGAAAAAAAATGTTATACATACTTTTAAACAACTATATTACTCACAACGACGACGATAATATAATTAGCATGGAAACCACAATAGAATCGTCAGGAATAGATAAATGAATAGTAATAATAATAATCTTTATTTACTTATATAAAAATATGTACATATTTTTAAACAACTATATTATTGACAACAACGACAATGATATAATTAAACTAGCAGGGAAACCACAATAGAATCGTTAGGAATAGATAAATGAATAATAATTAATAATAAGAATCTCTATTTATTTATTTATTTATATAAATTCATTTATTTATTTACTTGATATATATTTTATAATCGATAACATTGTTCCCATTTAGGTCAATCAACTAATATCTACGCTCTTGTTCTCAGAAAAAATCAAATATTGCCGAATTCATAATTAGACCAAGGCTTCCAGTCCCCCGGGAAAAATTAATATCCCGTATTAGCTGCTCAAAAGGCAGGGATATCATGGGGTGCCACCCACTCATTGTCGCTGGATTTAGGTTTGTTCAGTGGATTTAGTAAATCCCTCTATCCCTGCGCCTTCGTCCTCAACTCC